CTGGAAATGGTTCGTTTAAAATACTCACGTGCAAGAAACTGCTTACAGAGTAATTTTCAGAACTTTTTGCATATTTCATGAATATATACCAACAATTTCTATTTCGTTATTTTTCAACTTATGCAAGCAAACTGCTTTTTGATGAAAAATAAATGTTTTCTTTGACGATTTTTCAAAAGGCGAATGTAATTAAGCAGAAAACATCATTTTTTCCCCTCGATGGAATGCTTTTTACAAAAACTTTGAAGCATTATAAAAGTCTTTTAAGACAATACTTTAATTAAAATAAGTGTTACGTGAAGTTAGATTTTTAAGAAAAGCAGAAAAGGCATTAAAGTTGAGCCACACAATAATTCATCTATTTTAACCAATGTCGATAGATATAATACGTCAATAGATCAGATAGCTAATGGTTGGCGATCTTCGTTTAACAGTTAGAGATATTATTGAAAAATTTCTATAACGTTTAAATTCTGTCAAGCAGTTGCGAAAATTAACACTTTGGTTAAGGCCCTTCGCTTCTAAGCTAATTCAAAAACACGACCATGTTTAAATAACACAGGAAAAGCTTTCCCAAAAGGATTCCGTCCTAAAATGCCTTGTTATTGATATAAACATGGATCCATACTTCTAACGCCGCATTGGGCTAAAAATAGAAAATAAAATGTTGTAGATATGATATATAAATGGCTGCTTTGGAAAATAAACCTTTACACATTTGCTGTTTGGTTTAATGACTTGAGTCTTCTGCCGTGTAAGGGAGAAATGAAGGCAAAAGTTTCTCTACCGAAGTTTCTCTACCAAAACATCCTGTTGCATAATTTTATACACCGAGAAAGAGGTGTGACATACCCGTCGACCGATGTAAGATAACGAGGGCTGTGATTACGAAAAAAATGAGTTTAATTGATAATTGGGGAAACGGATAAACAGAGAAAATATCTTTCCGGGAAAAAAAGAAAAGAGGAAATGTGAAGAAAAAAAATAAGAAAAAAGACAATACTGTGAGTTATACTGTTTTTTTACATCCAGGAAAAAAACTACGGAGATAAAAGGTACGAAGAACCTAGGAAGATGGAGATTTCGGACTCAGTTTTATTTGCGAGAACAAGAAAGACTAACTGACGTTACATCGTCTACTCCAATGTTGGTTAACTGGTCTGTTATATGACACGTGATGATGAAAGAGGGTCTGCTGCAATGAAACAGGATAGTTTTCATAGAGTACCATCGCTGCGGTGTAAATGCTTCTTCTTCCCTTCTCAAAAGGGGCTTTTGGACTCTTCCTCAGAGAGTGTTGGAAAAATATACCCTCCTTCAGCTTCGTGCAATTTTTGAAAAGGTTTAGGTTTCCCCAAAACCGTGGAAGGCGACTCAAGACAGTACCACCTTTCCTCCTAGATAGTTCAAGGAAGTAATTCTCCGGACTTACGGACTAACTGCCTATGTAAATCTAATTCTTGGTGTTAATAAATGGTATTTGTATCGAGATTAAATTGCAAACTCATATTTATTTAAATACTTTTTACGATTTATTGTACTTTTATTTATTATTATTTGAATTATTTATAATTTGAATGCATTTATAGTAGTTTTGTATCGTATCCGATACTGGAATGTACTATATTTTGTAAAAGCTTAAGGAGGAACTAAAAACGAATTTTTTGAATTTATCTAATTTTCTTGTTTATCTGTTCGCCATATTTGCGGTAGCAGAATTCTAAATTGTTTATCAAATTAAAACTTGCATTAAGTACATTGGGACCATTTTCAAAAGTTACATTGATATTCAAAACACATCGATTCACTTTTCATTCACAATAGGATAATTACTTTCTATGCTATAAAATCTATTTTGCTTACCAGGATCGATGGAAAAAAATAAAAATAATTCTAATATTATATTAAAATATTTCAATTAACCTAATTTTAAAGAACTAATTCAAAATACCACACGATCATATATTTGAAGAATTAGCTTATATGCAAATACCTTAAAGAAAGGAACTAAGACGCACGGATTTTCCTTTGGGACAAGCGGAAATTCTATCATAATTCGGAAAAAAAATCGTAATTTAAATTCCTTCTTTATCAATGCAACAACGTATTTAGAAAAGATAAATAAAAATTTTGAAGCATCATTTATAGAATATGGTCTGTTTTATCTACCTTTTTGATATGCCACCCTATTTGCAGTATGAAAAAATTCTGATATACGCTTGACACGTATTCTATTCTTTGCGAAGATGAGAACAACGTTCTGATTTAATATTCATACTTTAAAATATTGTCAGTTAGAAATAAACGAGTAGTGTAATCGAGCAAAAATGATTACCTCATAACCGTTCATCATACTGATAGCATAAATGTTATCACGCAAAAGTTTGTTTGTTTTTGAATGTATTCGTGTATGCTGAATTCAGATGCACTCTCCGATTTTGCTATCAACTGCAATTTTTGAGTGGCATCGTTTCCTAAAATCACTTGATAACGTTAACTTCATGTAACAAAATGCATTCTAAATTTGATTAGGTATATTGAAATTTAAATTGTATATGCAAATATAATGAAGACTAAATTGCAATAGGTGTTTTAATTTTTATCTGTGAGCCATTTCTATTATTTTAGTCGTAGTTTCTTCTATTAGCTTCATGTGTTTGGTTACATGCAGTCACAGATCTAAATATTAGAAATGGATTATGATTAGTGCCATTTGATCCCGCTTTTAAAGTTAAAGAAATACATGACAATTTCGAATCTCCTAAAAATTATACAGTATGAAAAATATTGGGATATCTATGGTGATTAAATAACTGTTTTTTTTTAGCTTTAGCCCACGACTGTGCTGCAGAAATTATTGCTATTATTTTATGAAGGAGGTAATAGAGACAAGAAATGTCGTTATGCTTGAACATATTAAGCAAGATAAAGAACACTAACTTCACTTGATATCAAAAACAGAACCTTTGTGAATTCTAAAAAATTACACCATCTTTCGCTGCACATTTTACTAGAACTTATGAGGAAGCTGTTTAAGACAACAGGTACAGGGGGTTAACACATACTTGAGAAAAAAAATTTCCTAACCTAATTGATGATGTAATCCAAAGAAGACGTTATTGCAAAGCAGGAAAATATTTCTGGATTAAAATTTCGTCAACAGTTGAATTAACGGCAAAAACTGTATGAAACTCTTCCAAGATTGTGCAAAGAAGAAAATGCAAATTTCCTTTTTTAATTTTTTTTCTGCTAATACCATAGCAGTCCGCGATGATCACTTTGAGAGCTTTCATCAGGAAATTTCCTATATTGAAAAATGATATCAAATGATATAAATACGTTTGATGCATTCTACTGAAAAGATGTTTGCTGAAATACTGTACAGCAGAAAGTCGTATACATTTCAATATTTGATTACCTCATATGATTATCTCATAACCGTTCATCATACTGATAGCATAAATGTTATCACGCAAAAGTTTGTTTGTTTTTGAATGTATTCGTGTATGCTGAATTAAGATGCGCTCTCCGATTTTGCTATCAACTGCAATTTTTGAGTGGCATCGTTTCCTAAAATCACTTGATAACGTTAACTTCATGTAACAAAATGCATTCTAAATTTGATTAGGTGTATTGAAATTTAAATTGTATATGCAAATATAATGAAGACTAAATTGCAATAGGTGTTTTAATTTTTATCTGTGAGCCATTTCTATTATTTTAGTCGTAGTTTCTTCTATTAGCTTCATGTGTTTGGTTACATGCAGTCACAGATCTAAATATTAGAAATGGATTATGATTAGTGCCATTTGATCCCGCTTTTAAAGTTAAAGAAATACATGACAATTTCGAATCTCCTAAAAATTATACAGTATGAAAAATATTGGGATATCTATGGTGATTAAATAACTGTTTTTTTTTAGCTTTAGCCCACGACTGTGCTGCAGAAATTATTGCTATTATTTTATGAAGGAGGTAATAGAGACAAGAAATGTCGTTATGCTTGAACATATTAACCAAGATAAAGAACACTAACTTCACTTGATATCAAAAACAGAACCTTTGTGAATTCTTTCCCCCATGTGCTGTTAAATTAATGTATATATGCACATACCATTTACATATCACAAAAACCCTTATAAGGATTTTTACTATCTTCCCTGCATGCCTTCGTGATGTAACAGTAGCACACTCGGCGCGGATTTGAGAGGTCCAGGTTCGAGTTTCGGAAAGGGCATTGATCATTTTCACGTCTCCTGCTTCAAAATAACTTACTGGATCTACAGTAGCGCCGAATTAAACAAAGTGATGGATGAAGATTCTTCACCACCAGGATTTGGCGACTGTGTCCTCTAATCCCCAGTCGCCCTTTAAAAGGGGAGTATATATATAAGGTATTTTCTCCCTCCCTTCGTGGTGTAACGGTAGCCCACTCGACGCATATTCGAAAGGTTCCCAGGTTCGAGTCTCGTCTAGGACATTCCTCATTTATTTATCTCTTGCTCCAAAAATAACCTAATGACTCTACACCCTTGCCTAGAGAAATTGCAATTAGGAATGGGAATTCAGCAAAAGAAATGCTTTTTGCTTCTTATATTTCGATTTCTGTGATAAAAAATTAAAAATGTTTTCCTGGGATAGCTATTAAGACAACCTTAAAGTAATATAGTTGAACAAAAAATTATAGTCCACAATTAAACGAGGAAGAATGTAAATAAGTGATTTATTAACTAATAGTCATGAGTTTCTACTGAAATTCTGAGTTACATACTTGAGTTCTTGTCTGGAAAAACTTAATAAATTTAAAGAATAATTTTCTGGAACAAAAATGAAATTTTACTGGAAAAAAAAATTATTGAAAACAATTATTGTACTCTTTCAAATTTACTTCCGTATCACTTTAAGTGATAGCTAAGGATTTTGTGTCCAGTGTTGCATATATATATATATATATATATATATGTATATAACGCATGAAAGAGAAATTGTTTTATACAGACCTCTGTGGCTGCATAGGCTCGGCGCAGCGCAGCTTGTTTTTTGCGCAAGGCTGTCCAGTTACGTATCTGCTTCTTCGCTTTGTTCATTGATAGACGATCGGAAGAGAAAGGCCCCTTTTTTCTACCTAAAAATAACAATCTGAGCATGGAGCATGCAAAAATGGCCTGAACTCGGAAAGTACCTCTGCATGATCTGCCACGTGCATCAGAGGGTGTGGCTATTTGGATCGATTGCACAGAAAGTACCTCCAAAAATGCCGCCAATTACCTTGACGACCCAGAGATAGTAGTCACATTGGACGCAAGAAATCCCCCCATCCCACCGAGTGGGGAAAGAAAGTGCGACCGTGAATGTTTTTTATTAATGCAGCGAACAGTCTTCTGACACTAGCGTTATTTCGATTACTTGGCGGAATAATTTTTAGTCCAAAGGGATTTGAATCCCCGAAGGACTATTAGTTTCGTTTTGGCATTTTGCGTCGGACTCATAAATGTCTGTTCACTTTTGAAACTGTTGCCACAAAATGTTAGAGTCCTGCATTATATTTGAAGAAATTAAATAATGAAAAAATCTGCATAAATGTATGTATATTTCTCGTATTGTGATAAAACAACGGTACATAGAGTCATCGAATTTTGAATAACGTAATCCTCCAACGAATATGAGCATGTGGAAGACCAAATTTGAAATTTGAAATTTGTTTTATGATCGATTTCCTATTTTTTAAAACTTTGACGAATTTTGATTAACAAACTCAAGGATTTCAAAGCGAGCAATGGCAACGTTGTGCAGAAAAAACATTTTTATCTCCAGCGCGTGAGTCTCTGTATCGGAAATTCTAAAGATATGCTCGTTTTAAAACTATTTTGCGATATTGCTGTTGCACTGGATCTTATGGTTTAAGTGCGAGGAACATGATATTTAATAAAGAAAGGTAACACACAAAATGTTAAAAAAACGCCCCTTTGGACGTAATTTTAAAATCTGAAACATTTCAGTTTTTTTTTTTTTTTTTTTTTTTTTTTTTTTTTTTTTGCATTTTAGAAAAGAGAGAGCGATTATCAACTGTGTGTCTGTGTCCAGAAAAGAATTCAGAAATTCACAACTACTTAATGCATTTACTGAATAGGAATTAAATTAAAAAAAAAAAGACTACTGCATTAGGGATAGGTGTGATCAAGCAAATGTCTAAATTTTTTCAATAATAAAAATAAATAATTAATTTAATTATGATTATTATAATATGTATAAAGTAATAAATTTAATGATGAATTTATTGCAGTATTATACTTAATAACCCGTAATAAAAAGTAAATGTTAATTAGTTTTATTTAGTTACAATTAATGCAAGTTACTTTTGGCACTATTTTTTTATATGAAGTATATTGCTCCATCCTTCCAACATGCCTTTGTGGAGTAACGGTAACACATTTGGCCTATATTCGAGAGGTCCAGGTTTGAGTCCCCGCGAAGGCATAACTTATTTTTCACTTCTTCAGCATAAAATAACGTAATTAATGTACACTTAATAATTTGTTTTTCATAACCAATGTTTCTTTTCAAACGTTCCGCTCTATGAAGTGACGAGAGCGGCATGCAAATGGCTATGGTCGCCTGGCGTACAGACCTCCTTCGTGAAACCTTTTACGCACGGTTGACGTCGACACCAACCTTCCAGTGGCTGCAGCAAGGGAGGTTCGAAGCTGAGATTCTTTTCCTTCGTGCGCGTAACAACAAATTTTGGTCATCAATGCTCGTCGTAGCGGTTGGTAGTTCTTGGCTGAACCTCCTGGAAGCCGAAACTGTAGTTAGAAGTTGTTGCTAAAGTCTATGAACCTCTGAAGGACTCACATGTACCCCCCATCTGGCCAAGATTGAAATATGATCAAAAAAGAATAAAAATGTGTGAATACGTTTAAATAACTGGGTGCAGTGATCGATGATAAATTGAATTTTATAGAGCATTTTAAGTCAATACAACGAAAGATAGAAAAAAAATTAAATTATTATAAAAATACTTATACTCCGATCACAATTTCTGACAAGAGCTCTATCCTGAGGGATATTTACAAAAATGTTATTATACCGAAAATCCTTTATGGTATTGACGCATGGGGTGATCGAGCAGGGAAACTGGTCAAGACAAGGCAGGAATTAGACTCATTGCAGAAGGCCTGGACACTTGCAATTATAAGATCATTTAGAACATTCCTGACAGAAGTTGCGGGCTTGCTGCCTGACGTACCGCCTCTCTCACTACAGGTACAGGTAGAAGCTAGGCCAGCACCTCCGTAGTACCACAGGTAAATTGAGGTATTGCTGAACCTAGCTAACTGTTAAACTTTCCACCCCAATTTTGAGGGAGAACACCCCGGGGGGTGGTCCGAGGTTCTCCCGCCCCTCTTTTTTTACCATCAACCACTTGGGAGAACTTTCTGAGATGAATGAGTTCTGGTATTAACAGTGTACACACAAATCATATTGAGAAAAGACTGTCCTTGAAAAGTTCAACAACTGATGCTTCCAAAAGCAGAAATAAGCATAAATGTCTTTTCTTACCAGCGAGACCTGTTTTAAAAATGATCTGAGTTCAAGCTATCCTAGCGAATATTACGGTATATCTTACGATAAAGACTATATTTCAGCTGGTGAAACTGAAATTTATACAGATGGATCAGGGTTTGCAGAGAGCGTCGGCTGTGCCTTCGTTGTATTTTCCCACGGTATTGAAATTAATTGCAAAACGTTTACTTTAAAACCAAGAAATTCAGTTTATCAAGAAGAATTGCTGGCAATTAAAAGGGCTTTATCCTGGATAAAGAAATTATCCGTGGGGTATTAAATTAATTTATACTCAGATGCCTTGGCTGCTCTTATGGCGCTCTCCCACCCTTTTCAATAGAATAATATTGTTAATGAAATCAACCATATATATTCAGAACTAGGAAAGAAGCATATTTTGAATTTACATTGTATCAAAGCTCACGCTGGTCATTATGGAAATGAGAGGGCGGATGCTCTAGCGAAAGATGCCGCCCTGGGGGTTGGGACTGAAAAGGTTTCTATTCAAGATTCGAAAAAGAAGACATGTGCTATAATATATGACAAGCTTATTAGAAACTGGAAAAAATCTGTGGGATTTTTCTGAAAGAAACAAAAACTATTTAAAATGTTTAAAAATTAGCAAAAAAATGCGAATTTTAGGAGATGTAGATGTCAATCAAATTCTCACTGCGCATGGAAGGATCCCTGCTTCCTCAAAAAGGTTCCACCTCCGAGCAAATGATATATGGAAAGTTTGTAATAAATTCGGCGATTCAAAGCATTTCGTCGAGGACTGTTGCCTGACTGGAAGTGTGAGAGGAAAATATAAATTTGCGAACTTTGAGGATTTATTTAGTAACTATAAATTGTTTTAGAAAATTTGCAAGAGATATTATGCAAACTCTGTGAGAATAAGAAGAATATTAGTATGGCGATATAACAAAGCAGAAAATCGTACTGAAAACAGAAATAATTGAAGGTAACGTATAAATTTAAGATGAATTTTGATAATATATAGAAGATTTGAACAATAATAACTAATTGAAAGTAAAACTTATAAAGATTTTAAACTTAGGAAAAGCACAGAAATGGAAACGACACATCTACAGGTGTATATGTTACCGTGAAAGACCGAAATTGGATGATGTCGACTTTCACCGGAGAGTCAACATTCACCAAATACGTCGGTGAAAGATCGAATATTGCTTTACATTCTTGTACATTCGGACCCTCACCGGTGTATGTCGACACTCACAGGATGTGCTCTGGTGTAGGTTGAAAAGAGAGGAGTATATGTACACGCGCTGTCATTGCAAAAGGAAGTGTTCCACAAATAAATGCTGTTGTAAAAGCAAGGGCCTCTTGTGCAATTGAAAGTGTCATAATAGTTTAAGTTTTTGCAATAAATAAGATTTGAATCACATAATTTTGTAAGTTTTAAAACTTCTATTATTTTCCTTTCTCATTTTGAATGTACAGTGTGTGTTTTAAGTTCTTATGTTCTTAAGTTCTTAATTCTGAAGTCTCAAGTGCGTTTTTTCGCAAATGACCGAATTACGGAGAAAATATAATATTCTTATGTGTTCAACATTCACCATTACTACATGGTGAATGTCGACATTCATCGGTGCAAGTCAGAAATAAGAGTATTTGGAAAATATTTCGGACATACACCAAGCGACTATGTGAATGTTCACATTCACCGGTGGAAGTCGACATTCTCCAGATTTCGGTGTTTCCCCGTAACATATAGACTACTTGTATTTCACCGAGAGTGTTTGGAATGTATCTGCTTTACGTTTGTTTTTCCGCTTTTATGTCCGTTTTGTGCGATTGTATGATCTGAACTCATTACCAGATGTTTATTAAGTTTATTATTTTCCGTTGTGTTAACCTTTTTCTTTGTTATGCTTTGTGGCTTGGCCTGTCCCCTCATAGCCATATGGCAGGTTTCGCCTGCTAGGCTGGCTGGGGGCCAGTGCTTAGAACTAACTAACTAACTAGTCCATCTGGCCACTTCTGTCTGACTGTTCCTCATTCTTCTGGAAAACGATGCCTGGAGGTCATTGTTACAAATTGGCTATCCCAGATTTCTCATCTCAGTATCACAGCGAAATTTCCAGGTTTGCTTTGAAACATGCAATTTTATGCTGCTCGCAGACGACGCATTTCGATTGCAGTGCCACTAGTTTGCATACTGCAGTTTTACTCAGCAATTCTTATTTGACAACATATTCAAATTTTATAGAGATTGGCTTGTAGAGACATTAGATTTATTTGGAAGTAAGAGACATGAAAAATGTACAATACCCTCGCCAGGACTCGAATCTTGGACCTCTCGAATGCGCGCCGAGTGTGCTGATCACTACACCACCAAGGCATGCTAAGAAGGCGGCAGAAACACCTTATATACTCCTCTTTTAAATGGCGACTGGGAATTAGCTGGGGCCACTGGGAATTAGCGACTGGGGGCGACCAGTCGCCAAATCCTGGTGGTGGAGAATCATCATCCGCTACCTTTTTATTATTCGGGCGTCACTGCAGGGATATTAGATAATTTTTGTGCTGGAGACGTGAGAAATGAGCAATGCCCTCGCCGGGAATCTCGAATACGCACCAAGTACACCAGAAGGCATGCTAAGAAGGCGGGAGAAATAGCTTATAGGCTTATTCTTGAACGAGTTATCGCTATTTTTGAGATGTTCCCTAACTGTTTGGAAACCGGTGATTTATATATCAATTAATACGTAATAAATCTGACATAAATTGACTTTCAGTTTTAAAAGAATTGCAACTTTAAACAGTCCATTAATTGCAATAAATATGAGCATGACAAGATGAAGAAAGTTTCACAATTTGGGACGATTAGCATCAATTAAATTTAAATAAGATAACTTTAACAGATCTGTTTTTCTCCTGCAGTATAACCCGAAACTTGACCTGACACTGAATACGAACGCAGTTTTCTTAGAAATACCCTTCATGGAAAGACTTTAAATCGCATGCAATTTAGGTAACTTTTCCCATTATTCATATTTTGAGTAGCATATAGAAATATACTATTTCACGTTCGATTTAAAACATATATGTCGCATGTCAAAGACATCTAACTATAAAAGCATATCATTCGGTTCAATATTAAAATTTCAGAAGCATTTAAATGATTGTCTGGAAAAATATTTTTGCAGTTGTGGTCATTTTATTTTGGAAGAGACAGGCAGGGACTAATTTGTAATTCTCGCATATGTAATTTTGTTTTAATCAAGATACGCATAATTTTATTTATTGAAATTTTGTATTATTTATAATTGTTGTTCCTAAAATTATTCTTATTTATGTTAAATAATTATATGTAGAAACTAAATCATAATAACTTCTTTTTAAACTTTGCAATGTTTTGAAAAAATAAGAGGCACCTTTTGTCATTTCTAGTTGTAAATGTGAACTGTAGAAATGCTAGTTTAACATTTTATGCTATCAAAGCGTTCAACTCTCATTTACACACCGCAGCGGACTCAAACGAACAGACTCCATATTACAAATTTACGACTTACAGATATATCTCGCATATTTGGGAAGAAAGAACTGATTAATCTCGCAACTGCCGAAGAATAAAGCTATCGATTACAAAGAGGGTAGATAAGACCAAACAAATTAGAAAACATAATTCAATTCGGTTATTTCTTTCAAATCAATTTTCTTTGTGATTTTATGTGCTGATCTCCATTCTTCACCACCACCGGAATGTTCTTTAAATTAGAAATTTTAATTCGAATGACTAGAAATCTCTGATGTTATTCTTGAATTTCGTTTACCAAAAACAGAGGTTTAAATTTAGTTTTCAATCTAAGTCAAACAAAAATCAGAGAGCTCCAAATTTACTGAGTCGGAAAATGAGAAACCAGTGCACATTTCGTTTAAAAAATGGTTGCATCTTTACAGTCATTGTAACTTTGTATAATTACGTGGTGAAGCGATGAATTCTCATCTCTCCACAGCTGAGATCTCTTCGACGAACATCCCTTCTTAACTGCTGGAGAAAACTTCAGTAAAGTACCATATTGAATGTCTGACTGTTGGGAGGGAATCCTCTGTGCACACTTTGTACATCCATCAGGTTTATTTTGGAGGAGAAAATGGGTGAAAATGAACAATGATTTCGCTTGGATTCTAGCTCCGAACTTCTATATTGTCAGCCGTCTATATTGTTCTTTAAGTTACATCCAGAACGTATGCAGCAAAAAACGTGAAACTCCTCATATGTGGCTAAGACGCAGTCTCTAAATCCGGGAGGTGCAAAATCATTGTACAGAACACTTTAATTCGGGCGTTCCTTGTACCATAGATTAAGTCTTTATTGAAGGCAAGAAACTGAAGAAACTCTCAATATCCTAGTCGGGATTTGACTTCCAGATCTCTCGGCTGCTACCTGGATGATCCTTCAATTATACCACTAAGGCATGCGGAGGGCGAAACGGAGGGAGAAAAATCCCTTACATCTTGTCTTCATATTAAAAAGAAGTATCAGTACTGTTTGCATTTCTCTCTTAACCTTCCGTACCCTGTCTGGTTTGAGGATTTTAAAATCCTCCAAAGTGAGATTTGTAACTTTATGTCACAGTCATAGCTACATTTGTTCCTGAGGCCGAAATCTCAGAACTAATTGTCCTTAGACTACAATTAGGCTTGGACACGTAAAAGCGCTAAATTAAAAGACTTATAGGAAGTATTGGAGTATTCCAGTCACAGCACAAGAGTTAGGATACGTGTATTAATGCAGAAGAGGGCTGCGCTTTGAAGAAGATAGGAAACAATTTCAAATAGGTTTCCAAATTTTCAATGGATTTATTTGATTATTTTTTTCAAACACATATCAAAAATTTTAGGAAGCTTATAATGTTGTGTATTCTTATCTATCGCAAAATGTACACGACGCTGAAGATTCTTTAGTGATTCACCACCAAGTCTCTTATAATACTACAAAATCAGTAGAACGGTATATCTTCATTAATTCAAATAAAGTTTAACGGTCGGCATTAACTGCAACTTAACTGTCGGCATCAACCATTTTTTATCTTAGACAACAATTTTTGCTTAAATTTAAAGGTAATCAATAACTTAAAATTGATGAAGTTAAGTATAGCCTAGCGGCTTAACAGCTTAACTATCGCGCAAGCTGGCTGTGACTCGAAGCCGGCGTAAACGAGCTTAATGGCATGAATAACTTAACGCAGCAGCATGCTAATCGCTAGAGAAATCAAGTTAGCAATGTTGTCTTCAAACAGGCGGAACACGCTCTGATTTTACCCTCCAAAATCTTCCTTTAAATACGTCTTTCGTCTTGCCTAAATTGAATATCTAGCGTGCTGGAAACTTGCATTCTGTAAGGGAAATGAAATGAAGGTTGAAAGGTAAGGTACTTAAAATAAAGGGTTAAGAAATTAAATGATACACTGCAAGCTTTATAAAATGGTATAAATTCTGCTAATTCAAGTGAATTATTTATTTTTTAGTAAGTTTAAATTCGATCATTTCAGATTATCTAATAATATAGAAGAAATGCGTTTAAGTGTCGATTAGTCTAAAAGTAGGATTAAATTAATTTATTATATAAAATCCGGGAAAGTATCCACTTTTTATTAAAATGTATGTACGGAAGATTTTTGCATTCAAATCTTGAACTTTGTAGTCATTTATCGTCATATCTTGCATTCTTAGGCAAATTATAGCTATCAATAAACAATGTAATTGATACACATCTTAAATACAGATAGTGAGTGCAATGATTTTTTAGCTTATGTATCTGAATTAGCATTAACAATTTTAAACGTGTTTCTAGGTTTATACATAGCTTGTTTTAATTGGATTCAACTCTTAGCAAGCTTTAATAGCTTGCTTTAATTCAAGAAATGAATTAATTATTATTTGAAAGTAACAGGATTTGCATCAAATATTAATGCTCAGATTGAATTTTTATTCGGTAATTTTCTTACTATACGAACGAAAATCAATAATTATCATTTAATTTCATGTTTTAAAATTTAAATAATGTTGTTTCATTACTTATTAAAACCATGTAAAGTAGATAAAATAAAGCAAATTTCGATAAGTATATCAGTATGCATTTCAAAATGCTGAAACACTGCATTCTACATTTAAAGTGCATCAACTATCTGTATGTTTATTTATTTTTGCCATTTATGTTCATCATTTTAAATAAAAGTACACTTTATTGAAGAATACAGGACAATACAAAGTAACACAACATTCTAAAATAAATAACGGATGATAATGTAAGAGTCCTTTGTGATGGTTTTCAAAATATATAGTCATGTAATATTCGAACAGTGGCAAAGTGTAAAATAGTTTAACTTTTTCACATAATTTCTGAACAATATACATCAAATTTTCGGAAATATGAATTTGTGCTACCTCCACAAGGAATTCGAACGAAAGGTTCTAGAGTTCTGTGATATAACAACTCGAGGAAAACTGTCTAGAACTTTCTCAAGCTCTTCGCTTCCATCAAGTTCAGCATCCAAAGATCTGCAATCATATTCAGGCATATTCTGAAAGGCTGATGGTTGTCCTTGAAATGGCTCTTTGACTTGTAACTGTGAGGATTGAAACTGAGGCCATAACTCATCATCACTATCATCAAGCAATACTTCATCCTCGCTTTCAGTGCAAGTCTCAACATTCTGTCCAATATCGTATTTGTAGGGTATCTTCAGCCACCTAATAATGAGAAATCCAACAATAGCAAAGAGCACGAAGGAAAAGAAAGAAGCGACGCCAATAACTATATATTGGTTATACACGGGGTCGATGGAGGGATCTATAAGTGAAGCAGCTGTTGACCAGTTCTTCGCTGATTCTGCAAAAAAGACAATTCCATTATTAAAAACTAAACCATTTGTTGCAGGTTGTTGCTTTTAAATCACAGATAATTTTTATATAGTTCTTTAGCAATTACCATGATGATTAAAGCTGTCGAGTGAATTTAAACATATGTTTTCTAAAGCAATACTCTCACTCAATACTTAAGCCTTTTCCCACTCTCAAGAAATGTTTAACCAACATTCATACCCGCTTCAGTGTTCGCACTATAGTAACAGACTGCGAGACAACTCATGACACGCTATGGAAACACAGAAGCTAATCTTTGCCACATGATCTTAAATTTCGTATTTTACTACGGGCTGGAAACCGTTGTTCTAAAAATGAGAGACATACATTAGCAATCATTAGCAGTTATTTATTTCTTCTGTCATGATATAAGATATTTTTCCTTTATTAAATATAGTTTTCATAGCTTTATGAAATTTTGATGAGATTATGAATTACAGGCATACCTTAAATTACTGCGGGTAGATTCCATACGTTCAAATACAGAAGGTGCTCACTGCAACTTGTTATTTGAAATGAGAAATATCGTATGCTACTCTTAAATCTATTCTTCTTTCAAAATGTCGCATGTAAAGCAGCTGTGGATTGAAGGATAAGTGTTTGTGCTTTTCGAAAAGAAATAATCCTATTACATACTTCAAAAACGTTGTGAAATGCATGGTATTAAAATTTCTAGTCGCAAAATGAGCAGCATTATTAATCTGAAAGGGGAAAACCACAAATCATCACTTCTTCCTAGAAAATGACTCCTAACATACACTCGAAAAAGGTACGTACTGTTTCTAATGTTTCAAAAGTTAAATCTTTGGTAACAAGAGTAAATCATCCAAAGCATAAATCACAGGCCTATAGTTTCAAACAAAAGATCAAAAATTTAAAAAAAAATCCTGTTTACAATTTAGCATTAATTAAACGGCCTCGAAATAGTTCTAAAAATATGTTAACACCGCCTGCAAATATCGCAAAAAAATCGAGACGCAAGTTTATTCTGTCCAGTGCATTTAAATATTAGGTTTACCTAACACAGTACGACCCATTATAAAGCTATGTTTACATTTTCTTATCATTTGGGAGTTCACGCGCTCTAAAATAGTATTCGAGAGTTTTTCGTTAGTGTTTCAAGTCTATCAACCGTTTAGTGTAAGGAGTCCAGTTTGGGGCTTTGTATTTAACAGTTGGTTTTTAATCTTTCTTTACGGATAAACCCTTGTAGCATTTTTTCAAGAACAAGAAACTGGAGCTTTTCTGTTCGATTGAGAATTTCAAAATGATTATATTTTTATTGATTCCAATTTGAACTAAATAATGAAGAAATTTTTTGCAGTTTAAATACCTGTTTACGTATTAAATGTATAAAGTTTATTCGCATATTCTAAGAAAGTATTTATGCGATAAAGAATTTTAACAATAAACAAATTAAATTATAGACTTAAAAAGACTAAAATAACAGACTCAGTATTATGAGTATAGCATTTTGAAGATTTAAAGGTAAATACATGGCCACAATCAGAATTCTTTTATGTTAGACCATTATTTAAATTTAATATAATAACAAAAGAAAAATTTGAAATAATCAGGGAATTATCAGATTGTCATACAGGAAATGTAGCATGCAAAGTATAAGCAAGAAATGTAGTATGCAAAACATCACAGATGAATCAACTTGACGCAGGATTGTCATCAACTTTTGATTTCTAAATATACGCAATATTAGCAAAGATCAATTGAAAGGAGGTATCTCTGTATACTGAACTTTATTTTACACCTTACAACTTCCCAAAATATGAATCGATATTCGTCATCGGATATCAAATGGCGCTTCTAGTGGCGTCTAAATATCGATATATAATCGCGACTAATGGCAGACTTCACTTTTTTTAAAGGTTTCTAACTTCTTTGGTCATTAAAAGACCATCTTTTGACAATCATCCGCTTACCTCTGTTGCCTTAATCACACTATCGATAAAACGCGAGAAGTGGGGAAATGTAGAATTCTAAACAAAGGCAACACACATGCTTCACATTTCAAAATTTCTTGGAACCATTAACAACAAAAGAAGCAACAATCCTCCAGTTCTGCAGTTATTCTGAGAAGATATCAAAGGCAGACGATATAATCATTACGAAAGTCATTTTGGATTTAGAGACAATTTCCTTGCAAATAGCTTTCGATTCTGTGAAAAATCGTGAACAAGAACTGTATTATTTTCTCTTGATGAAATCTAATAAATCATTTTCTTTGCGTTTTACGAAAAGATTTATTTGTAGAATATTTGTGCATTTTATGAGAATAAAATAAAATGAATATTCTATTGTAACTGATTTCATGTTAATTGCATTTTTAATTGAGAAAGAGAGTAAAACTTCATTATCGAAAATAATGGAGGCCACAAATTTCCAGAAATCCAGAATTTGTGTTTTTCTCTGCAGTCTATTTGTATGTATTTGTCATAATGTAAAAAGTTAAATTTTCTTTCTTTATAGAAATTTATTTCAATGAATAATTAATTTTTCTTTTCTTTTTATAGAAGTTCATTTCAATAACAATCGTTTGAAGAATGCATGTTTTGCATTTCATTTGCAGAAAGGAATGTAGTTTTGTTTAGAAAAATAAATGTGAAACATGTATTCTTCAAAAAGAATAAAAAATTAAACAATGAAATTAATTTAATTTGACTATATGGAAAATGTATTTCTGTTTCAACTAAGATGAATCAATTAAATTTACTTTCTTTACATAAGAAGGGTTGGTTTAGTTAGCATATTAATGTTAATTTATTAAGCCAGGGAAGGTTCTTTAAACTGTATTCCGCGGAACTCTGGGAGTGCATGGAAATCCTTTAGGAACCGAAACCACAAAAATTTGAAGGAATTTTTAAATGTCATAGGAACAGCAAAATTACACATCTAAAATCATTTATTAAATAATACTGCTTTTGCTTTTATTACATTGAAAATTTTAATTCTATTTATACTTAATTTAATAACTTGTGTTTAAATTGTTCAGTAAAAATTATAATGAAATAATAATTTGCTTTTCATTCTTCGTATAAAGTATTCTCAACATCGATAAAAGTTCAATATTTTTTCCTTGGAATAGGATTTTACAAGAATAAAAATGTGTAGTTTTGTGGGTTACTCGAGTCGAGAAAATTTGCAGATCACTATTCTTATATTAAACTATTTTTATTATTATTCCGTTAAAGTAAACAGAAAAATTGTTTTTATTTGCATAAAAATTATATAATCAATTTATATTCAGCTAAATTAAATTAAACTGTTATTTTTAAACAAATAAATGAGCAAAGCCTAATGCATGTTATTAAAATTTTCACTTTTATAATTTTATCATTTTAATGAGTATTTATCATTTTAATGAGAAACGTCAGACAGGGACATGCATATTGCTTCTTTTGTTAAATTAAAGGATAATAAAAAGGTACTGAATGCAATTACACAGCACACTGTAAGACAAAAATTATTTTTGGTTAGCAAGAACTGGCATGACATTAAAAAGCTTATTTAGCAAGTTTCTGTAATTTGCATGGCTTAAGCAAAGGAAGCCTTATATACAGCATGTTTTGCTTCTCTTGTATGTACTTCTGCTTAATATTCAAAAGCTGTTATACCTGCGATTAAATTTCATGCCGAACTCATTAATTACTCTAAATTAAATTCATATACTCGCTCTTTCAGATCATTGGCAATTCAATATCGTTATGAAAAATAGATGAAAAGTATAAAATATTTTTACTTTAAAAATTTTATTAAGTCATGCAAGTGCATGTTATTTATATATTATTTATTGTGTTTATATATAATTACGACATGTAGCGATAAGTCGCCCAGGGGATGTAGTGGTTAGGAAAGTCTACTACAGTACCGAAGGGCCCGGTTACCAATCCCGGAGAGGACATGGCTGTTGGTAAATGTATTGTGTCGGTGTACCATGGCGGCACCCTAAATATGCAGCGAGCCAAAGGTCCTCTCGTGTGGATTGGTGGAAGAAGAGAGGAGTGGGAGATCCCCGGATCCCTCGTCTGGGGGGCTTTCCTTAAAACTGGGGGTGAAAAATAGAAGTCCAACCTCTCTTTGTAGTAGGCTCTGGCGACTGTTGTTCCATGAAACATGGACAAGACAACAACAGCAACATGTTGTGATAAGGGAAGCTTTTAAGAATTTTAGCTCACAGCCACGTTAAAATTATTTCCTACCTATGCAGAATGTTTCATTTATGTATTTCATAAAAGAAGTTATTATATGTCGTGAAATTATAACTTATTATTAATTTGATAAAATTTACGAATATGTAATCTAAGAAATCCTTTTACACATATAATGAAATAACTGTTTCACTCGTGGAGTGACAGATAAGCGAAAGTTATTTCACCTCAACTTATGTGTTAGAAGATATGTAGGGGTTAGTATAATACTGGATCACTTTTATTCGATTACGATGTACGCAGGCTATCTGCCTAAGGAGTTCGGGAAGGCTTTTCTAAGAAAAACTGGTTCGTAATCAAGTTGCACATAGGAAAATCCAGAGAACATCCATGCAGTCATCCTATTCGCTGGAATTCGATCCACGTGCTACTGGTCGGCCTCTTTCAGATTATACACTGGTATAATGTGTGGAAGGGTTTGAATAAGTCTATATGTGCACTGCACAGTCTTTAATAGCCGCTTTAGGAAAAGCTAAGTAAACTATGGCTATGTGGTCTGTAAGCACATCAAGTGAAAGCACATCTTTCTTATCACTTAGTTTGCTCTGATGTGGTGATTTGAGAAATATGCGGACTTCATTAACTAAGGGAGAGGGGACATAAATCATATTAGAAAATTATTCCTTTAAGGTGCTGAAGTCTGCCGCATTCCTGTGAAAAATCTCGATATATTACATGATTTAAACTTGGTCTTCGTGAAAACAAAGGGAATTAGATATCAGAAGAAGTCAGAGTTGCTCAAGTCTCAGTGTCGCTGGCGCACAGCTTCCGCAGTTTCAACTAGCAGATTGTTATGTTCCGAATTTTTCTTTCATTATACATGAGTCATTATTAGTTCGATAAAATTACAAAATCTGGAAAGCTGGCTGTTTGGTTGGATAAGTGACATTGACGAAGCATGCGAGAAGGTTTTTCAAAAGCTATTTTTTGGAGGACAATCTTTTTGAAGACTAGAAGGAGTTGTAATATCCTAGCTAAACTAGAGTTCCTTGGAAGCTAGAATACTGAAGAAATGTGTAGCGACTGTTCGCTGAGTTCTTGTAAGTAACAAGTACAAAGAAGGGTTAAATTACCTTTTATTCCAACTCAAAATGAATGAACAAATTGACCGTACAATGAGCCTCCACTTGAGCTTTAACTCCAAATAGAAAATATAGAACTAGTGTAATCTAAGACTGAATGAAATTATCCACCCGAAGCTGCACAAAATCAACTCATGGAGTCGGCCCTTTATTTAAAGATCACCATCGTATATTAGCAGGCAAGTAGAAGTACGGCCGTAGAACAGTAACCTTAGACTAATAGCAATAACGTGGCTGACAGGCAGAACACGCTCTTCTTCTGAAGTGAGCGAAAATTCAGCATAAATAATCGTTTCTACCTCATTTGTATAAATCGTATTTCTGAAAACTCATTCTGATAGGGAAAGGTAGGCGTGAAAATAGGACGTATAGGAAAGGCTTGTTCCAAAATAAAAATAACTATTAGAAAATTGAAGTAAAACTCTACAGAGTAATTAGATGTGAAAATATATTTTTAATCTTTACCTATAGGGTGCTTATAGAAATCGCAATATGCTCTTTTATTTAAATATTGATACTAAATAAGAAATTTAAATTTAAAAAATCTCTTGAAGTAAGTTGAAGAATTTTTGGAAAATAGTTTTAATACTATACATGAACAACGTAAATAAAGCCTCTAGCCTCTTTCTGTGAACACCTCATATATTTGAATTCCAACTCTCTCTCAAAAAAAGTATGAAAGTTTTCAGATTTTATATTGCGCACAAAAGAGTGTTTTTTTAAAGTTTTGTGTTTTACCTTTATTTATTAAATATCATGTTCTTCGCACTTAAACCATAAAATTCAATTCAACAGTAATACCGCAAAATAATTTTAAAAGAGCATATCTTTAGAATTTCCAATACAGTCTGGTGCGCTGGAGATAATTTTTTTTTTCGTACAGTGTAGCCATTGTTCGCTTTCAAATCGTTGATTTTGTTTATCAAAATTTCTTTATAGTCTTACAAAAAATATGAAATAGATAATAAAACAAATTCCAAATTTGGTCTTCTAGATGCCCATATTCGACTGGAGGACTACGTTATTCAAAATTGGATGGCTCTAGGTACCGATGTTTTTTCACAGTGCAAGAAACATGAAAACATTCTTGCAGATTCTTCATTATTTAATTTCTTTAAATGTAATGCAGGACTCTAATATTTGGTGGCAACAATTTGAAAAGTGAAATGCCATTTACAGTAAACCGATAGAAAATGCCATAACGAAATTAATAGTTCTTCTAGGCAAATTGTCCCTTTGGGCTAAAACAAAAAATTCAGTAAACTGAATAATATGAAGAATTACAAAAATTCAGTCACCATATAAAAAGGAATTTATACAAAATTTTAACATTTAATGAACTGTTGATAAAGTTCTAGACATACCATGTGTTGTATTTTAAATTTTTTTATATCGTTTCAGGAGACGTTTTAAGAATCCGAGCATTATTTACCTGCAAAATTTTAATTAGTTGCGTCAATTTATTTAAAATATAACTTCATTTATTAAAAAAAGCAAAAGCAAATTGCTTTCAGTTTTTGAATTAGAATACTATTTAATAAATTAATTATATAATATATAAAATGATAATAATAACGCTTACCGTTCTCATAAACTTCACGGGGTTCTCGCATCTTGAACGTATCCATTCTTTAACAAAAATATTCATACAAGTCTTGGTACGAATTTTGAATGCTTAAGATAAAAACATTAAGTGAAACGTCTAGCGTTCTTTATGACGCTGCCATTCTTTTGTATATGAACAAAATTTATGTATTTTAAATTGAGATACTGAGTCACAAATATCACGTTTTCTTTATCAAACTTTTTTATCATTTACTATATGATCATTGGCTGATAACTTTGTAATCATCCCTAAAAGAAAACAGTAATCAAGTAAAATCTGATAATATCCTTAAGCTGCGTAATCGTACCTTTATACGCTTATTTTTATTTGATCTTTTAAATAGAAACATGGACGGTTACAACATTAGAACCATTATTCTGATGTTATAACGGTCCATGTTTAATGTGTTTAACTAGAATGTATCTCAAAGGAAAGCATTTAGAAAGTATAACTATGGTCTGTAACACTGCTATTGATGTGAAGCTATGTCACTATAATTATGGATTTGTTAACTTTTTAGGTTGTAATTACAGCAAGTGATAAAAGTTTCAGTTGCTCTTTTTAAGAAGTTATTAGAATGCAAATAATAGTTATTTATTTTATGTTCATAACGTTTAAGATTAAATATGATATGGTTACGTATACTTTGAAATAATTGCACTGTTAATGCACCGATCCCTATGATCGTTTATACAGGGTGTCTCAAAAGGCTGCTGCTGAACTTAAAATGCTGGTCTGTTATACCATGAGAAACAAGATTTACATAGATACTTGTGTCCGAAAATGAGTATAGCCAGCGCTAGAGAGTAATATTCGCAAGCGCAGAGGGGAAAGAAAGGATGTCGATGAAGTTGTTAATACGACATTTTTTAAAGAACATAATTAAATCATAGGAGATGTTCAAAATTCCTTCCATTAACCACAATGCATGCTTCATACCATTGATGCAAAGATTCACTGACACGTGTCCCCGCATCCACGATCCTGGCGACGAGATATATGTCTGAGTACACAATGGAGCTCATGTATCCCCACAGGTAGAAATCCAAAGCAATCACGTCAGGGGATCGCCCATGCGACTGGTCCACCTCTGCCAATGGAGTGATTAGGATATGTCCTATCGAGGTATTCCCGTACAGTGCTGCTAAAATGTGCAGGCGCTCCATCATGCTGAAGCCAGATGTTTCGGTGTATAGCTGCTGGGACGCCATCCATGAGATCTGGAAACACCCACAAAATGTCACACAAGATGTCCGAAAAGATATGAGTTAGTAAACCGATTCATTCTTCTCCTGCAACGATCTGGCCTGAAAGGATCACACTTCCCACTCTCACATAAGCTTGCCAACACTGCCCTCTAGAAGTCGCCCTTCGCTTCGGATACAAGTTCCTATGTAAATCTAATTTGTCATTTTATGACAGACCAGCATGCTGAGTTTAGTAATGACCTTTTGAGACATCCTGTATAGTATGCAATGGAATTCATTTCAATGTCCAATAGATGTAACAGGTATTATTTTTATTACAAAATAAGAATGTCGTGTCTCAATTTTGTTGATCAACGTAATGTCATTTTCTAACTACCACATTAAACAAAATAAAATATTTTAGTATGCATTCAAATAAAATTCTGAATGATTGTCTTTCAGTTTATGATTTAAGGTGAAACTCTTGTTGGCAGTGTTCCGAAATTCGTTCCTATGATTGAATTCTACAGTAATATGCACATTAGTTTAAATATAAGACGATATCTTAACTTTTAAAAATACTTTGAAAAACTATACCTGTCTTATAAACGCAGCCTAAGATTTTAAAAAATGTATTAATATAATTTCCTTAAATTCAGGTAAAACAATCGTCCTTAAATTTATTTATGGTATGCTATTTAAATTTTTTTTTTGTGAGATGCCCTCAGTACATTAAGTTTATAGGTAAGATTTTATAACATTTGGATCAATACATAAATAATATTTGTATGTCTCTTAGCCACTTACCACTTATGCATCCATTTTCAATCCCAAGGGTGAAGACAGTGAACAAGCTGCATGCATTTTCTGTATATTTCATATTTCATTCTTGTATGCGCATCACCACCCTTTTTAATTAATTTATTAAATTGCAATAAGTCAATAATTTGAGTAGGAGATGAGATCCACGAGGATATATCATAGTCTCTTATTCTAGCAACAGTACAGCAACAGCACTTATCTACTCACGAGACATGGGAAGATACACATACCCGTAAGTTCCCTTTTTTACTTCCAAAAACTGTTATCAGAAAGCAATAAATGAATAGAAATTTGATACAACTAGATGTTTTATTATTTAAAGTAGCGCAATTTATGTCTTTACATATTGGATCTCTTCAATACTGTGGATCATTTCACATATTATTGGCCTGAATGGTAATGAAATGGCTGATGCGTACTTCAATGACTTTAACCATTGGCACCTTGACGTTTTTGGAGATTTACTCGAGAGTTAAATCTACTGTTGCATCTTCCTGTTATTCTCTTCTGGCTCATGACTGGTACCTTGGCCAAGTAGTCGGGAGGTGCTATTGCCTTTGGAGATAATCGTATTCAGCAGAGTACTTTGACGAGGCTGAAACGCCTTAAATTTGACCGGGGAAATAATCTCTATCTTATCATCCCATCTGTAGATCATCCCATCTGTAGGAAATACAGATCATCCCATCTGTAGGATCATCCCATCATCCATCTGTAGGATCATCTACGGATCATCCCATCTGTAGTAAATGTAATTCTGATCATTTCCCTCCTGAACATCTTCTCACCGGTTTGGGACTTATGAAAGAGGACCTGTTGAAAAGACCTACCTTCGATTTGGATTTATTGACAGTTCTTGGGCTCATGGGTCTGTCTAACTTAATAGGTAACCAGTTAAGATCAACAACAACAACAATGCCTTTCTTATATTATACTTACAGAAACAACATATTTTACCACAAATTACTTACACACGTTTCTCTGATATTTCTCTACTCCAGTGCATATAAAGTAGTTTTTAAAATTTTATTTATTAAATGTACGAAACACTGTTGAATATCTCAATTTTGGGCAATTCATATCGTTGGAGATACTGTTATATCTCACATACGTATGGCTAGTTATTGTAATACGGTACAGAAATGAACGATTCATATTAAAAGCTTATATATCATTCTGTTGTCATGTACAGTTTAATTCCAATATTTCTTAATTTGAACACATTCTCAAATTTTAAATAATTACCGGGATAAACCACTGTTATGCATTTCTGCTGTGTTATTCTGAATGGCAGTTTCATAGCTTGGTGGTAATTCTTCATTAGACTGACTTCTACTCTTGGCAGCTCCTATCTTTCTTCGCAGCCAGTTTAGAAATCTATTTCGTGATGCTTCTTCAGAATCAGCAACTCCATCTGACACAACCGTGTCGTAGTCTGGAGGATTATCGTTTACAGGGGGTCTTGAATCATCACCAATGAACGAAAGATTGAAAATTCCACCAGCATGTTCAGATCTGCTGGATTCTAAAGTCGATAAATGAGAAATTACTAACGCATATACGCAACGAAGAACGAAACCTCCTATAAATCCTCCAAGGAAAGCCATTCCAACTAGATAAAATGTGTAGCTGTTTGGATTTACGCGCATCTTTATAAATCCATTCGTGCGATTGTCCCAGGTCCATTCTGTTTCATTTGTCCTTGAAACTGTCAGTGTAGAATTACTAAAATTACCTAGATGGAAGTAAAAATCAGTGATTAATTGCAACCGCTTTTTTGAAAGCCTGAAAGAAAAAAAAATTAATAACATTTAATGATAACTAAAATTATAACCAAGCATCAAGAACTGTAATAAAAATAGAAGCTTTAATCTAGAACATGAAACACCTAAAATTCTTTTACATAAATATATCCTACTTAATGTATACAGCAATATCTGACACTCTTCGCTATTATAAAGTAAACTGATATCACTTAGAAACCTGGACTAACAATTTAATTTGTGCTGCACTAACAATTTAATTTAAGGCTAACCAGGCTGACTCAACAACCTACCGGGCGATATACTTATTAAATGGCCAAAAAGGTGTATCAGTAACTCAGCGTAACAGCAAGGACAAAATAGTAACGTGCGCTGGCTAGCGTAATCACGCTCGGAATAGACTACCCGTTTCATTTGATTTTATACTCATTGCACTTAACTTTAAATTTGCATCCTGGCGAGGAAATGCGAGGAAAAAATGAGAAGTTCAGGAAAGGTATTAAACTTAAAATAATTTGTTATGCAAATTAAGGGAAACCTTACAATATATGTAAATAAAAATTTCCTTCTTAAGCCTTCATATATTCCTTTTGTTTGTTCTAGACCTGTAGAAGTTGAGTAAAGCAAGGAGAAAAGTGACTGTGTATTATAGCTTAACAATCTTCTGCAGCTCCTCGAAACGAGAGACATAAGAAACATTAGTTAATATATAAGAAAATATTATCGAAAACATTTAGTTGCAATTCGTGATGCAACTAAATGTTGCACGAAGTGTTTAATGCCGAAAGATGCGCGGTTTTTGAGCAAAGGAATATCTGTAATTGCCTAGCTATCTGATTTAAAGATAAAATAAAGCAATATATACATATATATATATATTGCTTTTAAATTCAAAAATAGATTTAAAGCGATATATATATGTGGGAACTGTAACTGTTAACTAAGGATTATGTAAGAGCGCCATCTAGATTAGGGTGTGGTCAGATGAGATGAGACGTGAACGAGAATGAGGACAGACGTGTCCAAAATGTTCTTTCATAATTTCTGTTCTTTCCAAATTATCGATTCAAAATCCGTCAAAATGGTATACACACGTCGGTGAAGTTCAGCAAGTGATCAATTCAACATACCAACGGAGTATCACTACAACCCCATTCGAACTCATGTTTGGAACTAAAATGAAATCTGCTAATCATGATGAAATTACAGAGCTGTTAAATGCAGAGATGCAGTCAGGTTTCGTCAACACTCGTGAGGATCTTCGAAAGGAAGCTAAACAACAGATTTTGAAAGTCCAGGCTGAAAATCGTAAAACTTACAATCTGCGACGTAAACCATCCCGTAAGTTCATGATCTAGTAGCAATCAAGCGTACACAATATGGACCTGGTCTTAAACTGAAACCCAAGTTTCTCGGACCCTATAAAATCGTGAAAATCAAGCCAAATGATACTTACTTTTCTTTTCATTCTAATGTAAATAAATAAATCCTAGTTTAACTTAATGAGTTGTAGTTATTCTTATCATCAATCCTTCCCCATATTTTGGTGTCAGAAGTTTCGATTCCGTGCTCATAGTTGGATTGTGCAATTTGGTTACTAACGTTCACCCAAACGGATTACAGGTGAGCAATTAACATTTATCTATTTCATTTTGACTGTATAATTGTTTCAAGTAATAACCATGTCTTCAGAAGAAAATTTTGAAAAGTTAAAACGAAAGCATAGTATTGAAAAAAGCAGTACTACGAAACTAATTTCAAAAATTGATGTTGCTTTAGCAGATGAAAATGTTACATGTGATATCTTAGACGAACATCTAGAAGTTTTAATAGAGAAAATGAATAAACTAAAGTGCTTAGATAGTCAAATTGAACATTTCATTGATGTAAACTTAATTGAGGAAGAAGTAAACACTAGTACTGATTACCAAGAAAAATGTCTTAGGTATACTAACAAACTTAAACGTTTATTGAAACAGAAAGTGAGTTTTGCTATCTCATCGACATCTGAAAAACTGTTAAGTACTCCGAATGACAGTTTAAATTTACCCTCTTCAGTTAAACTTCCTAAGTTAACAATCAAACCGTATTCAGGAGACCCAAAATTGTGGAATGAATTCTGGAATTCGTTCGAAACCACTATCGATCAAAATGATTCCCTTTCGAAAATTGAAAAGTTTGCCTATTTAAAAACATATTTGACTGGAGAAGCTTTAAGTGTAGTATCTGGTTTTCAATTAACTGATAAAAATTACGACAATTGTGTAAAATTACTTAAAGATCGTTTAGGTCGAAAAGATATCATAATTGATTCTTTTATGAGTAAACTTGCAAAGTGTTAAGAACTCTTCAAATGTTCCAAATTTGAGAAAGTTATATGATGAGCTCTATATAGCTATACGAAATTTAGATTCACTGCAAGAGGATTCAAAATCCTATGGTCCACTTTTGATTTCATTTGTTTCTAAATTTATTACTAGAAAATCTTGTTTTAGATTTTAAGCGAAACACATAATCAAATTGCGATGTAACAATTTCTGACCTTTTTTCTTTTTTAAAGTGCGAAATTCAATCTCGTGAATCTACATTTTTAGCTTTACGTGACAGAAAAGGTTTCTCAGCAAATTCCAGTAATTACCAGTCATCTAAATGTTATAATTGTAATGGATTTGGTCATTTATCTAAGTTTTGTTCCGACAAACATCGCTGACCCAAATGTTTATCTTGTGGAAATTTCGGTCATAAATCATTTACTTGTATTAAGAAAACTCCGAAGCAAATTGACAAAAACAACAGTCCAATATCTGAAAAAACGAATGCTGTCACATCATATAATTTCAGATAAAGGATCAGCATTTACTTCCAAAGATTTTCAAAATTATTGTTCAACCAACAATATACAGCACATTCTAATTACTACAGGACTTCCTCGTCCCAATGGACAAATTGAAAGATTGAATTCTTTCATAATTTCTGTTCTTTTCCAAATTATCGATTCAAAATCCGTCAAAATGGTATACACACGTCGGTGAAGTTCAGCAAGTGATCAATTCAACATACCAACGGAGTATCACTACAACCCCATTCGAACTCATGTTTGGAACTAAAATGAAATCTGCTAATCATGATGAAATTACAGAGCTGTTAAATGCAGAGATCCAGTCAGATTTCGTCAACACTCGTGAGGATCTTCGAAAGGAAGCTAAAACAACAGAAACAACAGAAAGCTAAACAACAGAAGTCCAGGCTGAAAATCGTAAAACTTACAATCTGCGATGTAAACCATCCCGTAAGTTCATGATCTAGTAGCAATCAAGCATACACAATATGGACCTGGTCTTAAACTGAAACCCAAGTTTCTCGGATCCTATAAAATCGTGAAAATCAAGCCAAATAACACTTACTTTTCTTTTCATTCTAATGTAAATAAATAAATCCTAGTTTAATTTCATGAGTTGTAGTTATGCTTATCATCAATCCTTCCCCATATATATATATATAGCTATCTGATTTAAAGCAATATATATATATACATTGCTTTAAATCAGATAGCTAGGCAATTACAGATATTCTTTTGCTCAAATACCGCGCATCTTTCAGCATTAAACACTTTAAAAAACTGCTTTAAGTGAAGAAAGCTTTAAGTTTTATGAATTGAAAAATAATAATATATTTAATAATTTTAAATAAATATTGTGTACAAATTAGAAACAAAAAAGCAAATGATCTCACAATGCAATACTTTCAAAAATGATTTCAAAAACATCGAGAAAAGTGTTAGTGTTAATTTCAGGCTTCCTTTTTGCCAATAGCATTCCTCCCCCAAAGCTTTTTAACGCCAGGTTCTGAAAATTTAAAAAATATTCGCGTGTTATTTCCCTTCCGAAATGTATATAGAGAAGGAACTCCCCTAAATTTTAGAATGAATTCGTCCATGCAGTGATTGTTTTTATCTTACTGAGAAGGACAAACCGTCTCAAACTACTTACGAAGATCACGCTGAACCTTTCCCTTCTAACCTCCTTTTGCGGAAGTAATTTTCGCTTCGCCGAAATCTAATTGTTAAATTTTATGCCAACCCCATACAAGAACCGACCAATCACAGCGAAGTAAAACGCAAACTGGCTTTCAGTCTACGACAAATGGTTTTCAACCTGTTCTACCGAATGCACTCATTTTATCACTCCTAGAAGGTCGTTCCTTCTCTCCTCGTTTTCCGAAATTCCACAAATACACATACATTTTTTTAAGATATAGATTATTTTTCAACGCTATTTATAAATTGAACAACATAAAGTACAGAAAATGTTGATAAATACCAAAACTTCAATAAAAGTAGTTTTTGAAGTAGTTTGTACATAAGCTATAACTGAATACTTAACAACCAAATAAAAGGCTGAACTCATCCCCCCTGAATCAATGAAATTCCCTTACAGGGAGGAATCCCCCTCTGGCTAAGAAACCACAAGCTGCTCTACGTTTCAAATGTTACTTGCAAGATGGTCAAATGAATTCTATTTTCTACAGTATCGAGATGAGAGAAAATATAGGCTAGATGTCGTTAACATGAGACTGCGAATTTATACTGTCAAGCTGGTTCCATGTGCTAATTATATAATGCTGTGCAAAATATTATCCTGAGACACATTAAGCTGCTTAGTGCATGAGGGAAAATCCTCAAACGCTGTATATTAATAATATATGCTGAACGATTTCTCACTCATGGCTTTTAAGAATTCTGAAGAAATACTTTATTCCATCAAAAAAATGCGTAACCACTGGGACCACTATCGCATAGGCATGCCTCAAAGAAACATCTCTGAATTCCAGTTTGTTAGTTAAGCATCATTACAGTTTTTATCAATAAATCTACTGCTGCTTAGCATATAAACTCTGTTATCCTTCTTAGATGTTATTGAGGTAAACGTCTGATCCATAAATAAGGCCACCAAGCGTAGAATTGCGAACAAAG